TAACTTTCAATACAAACACATACAGAAACAATATCCAGCTAGTGCTTGTTGGCCTTTTTTTGGTTGGCCTCGGGTTACTGTTGGCTTTTTAAATGTACATTAGCTGCAAACATAGGTGAGAAGAACAAGGGAAGGGACATTGGACATTGTGTGATTGTGCAAGTGACTGATGATGGAAGGCTTTGAAGATGAGTTAGCGCTGTAGTTTGTCTCTAGAATATCAGCAGGGCCTAGAGATAATAAAAATACTTCTAGTCCAAAATATGAACATGGCTGCTTTCCAGTGAAACTTAATCCCCGTACATTTTCCATATTATGAATGTTGTGATGTTTCAACATAACTAATGGCAGATGATGCTTTAGCAGTGGAACCTACCAACTACCTGTCCTTGAATTAAGAACACTTAAGAATATTGCGGTTTTCAAAGTGAATGACATGTCATTTCTCTCATATTCAACAGTTTAAACCTCATGTGACAGGAATGGTTTTTAGCTGATCACTTGGTGTTCAAGGGCACTGGGATGGAGAGAGGGAACCTGCCTTGTCATGCTGACTCACTAGCTAGCCTTTGATTTTACCTGCTGGTATTTCTAAGCTTTGTGGTTCTATGTGGTATATATGAAAGTTAAGAAACATAAATAGAACAAATGTCATGGAAAAGGAAACCTATCCTATCCCTTATTATGAAACCAGAGCATAACTAATGATAAAAATGCTGCATTACCTCAGTTGTATTTAAAACTCTGATGTTGCTGTGCAGGGCACTCAGATCCAAGTCCACCTGAAAGTGCATGTTTTATTTTGTTTTGCAACACAGATCTGCTATGGAAATTACATTTCTGAGAGTGAAATAGTATCCAAAAGGGAGAAATGTATATTTGATATGTTTTGAGTATATGTATTGCCTGCTGACCTTGGTATTCATCTATACTTGTGTCAGCACCACTGACTCAGCAGTAAAAACACTCCCCGATCTCCTGGTACCACTCTATAGCTAATTTAAAAACTCTCCCATCAGCCACCTGCATGCTGGGAAATAGACTGTGGATGGCCCGAGGTTTGCTGTGTGAGGGCCTAACTTAGTGGGACATGCATATGTCCAACTCTGAAATACACTCTACTTGGGCTGTGATAGCTAAATAGCAGGCTTTGGCTTTAATCCTTCAGGGGCTCACAGACCAACTAGCCAGTCGATAAATTACAAGACCAGTAGCAAAACGTGAATTAATCTGTTTTGAAGATTTAAAAAAAGCTGATTTGGAATGCAAGCTTTGCTGGAATACAAAGAGCAGCATAGAAGAGTCACTTTGTTTTGATCAGATGGTTTCTTTAAGATACAGTTCTGTAGCAGAGCATCTCCATTTTGTTGAGACAGAGTAGAGCCATATTGATTTGGTTTCCTTTTTCTTGTCTGTCATGGCACCCTGACTTGAAAATGAACTATTTGACTGTGTTCGAGAAATCTTATGGTTAGGGCTTCATGGTCTGTTTTTGTCATTCTGAAGATTCACAGAATGTGAATCTGTGGATTTAGTCACAGACTTTTGCAAGTAAGGTGGATTTGTCCAAATGTATATATGACAACTCTGTAGTCATTTGTAAAGAATAACACATTGTTTTTTTATATTCACATTGATCATAAGAATTAAATAAATCCACTAACAGTGACTGTTTAAAGATGACCTAACACTGCACTTATCAGTATTATAGCATAGCATAGCATTAATTGCTCATAGTAACAACCGCACAGAGAATTATCACCAACTCCTCAGCACTATGGAGCTTAGCTCATTGTTTTGGTTTTTCAAGCTGCAAACTCTGCTCTCATCAACCTTATTTCCAGCAGCAGCAGGCAGCTGTTTTCCCAGTGTGCACCACCTGCTCAGCACCAAGCAGAAGACACATGCAGACTAGCTGCTGAACAGACTGGAACATTTACAGTCACTTTGGGCCCCTTTTTTCAGGCCCCTTCATCTTATGAACATTTAGTTGTGTTGCAGAGTTAATTTTAACTTTCGAATTGTGTGGTAAGGCCCAGGTCAGGGCTGGGGTATAAAAGCATTTCTGAAGCTCTGAGTCTTCCCAGTGGCTTCAACAGATGTGAGAAGGAAGAGTCAGGAGGAGTCCAAGAACCCAGCGGTCCCTCCAACAGAGCTTCAGCAGTCCTCTGCAGTGTTTAAAGGACAAAGACTCTCTGATCTGATGAGACCAAAACTAAAATCTTTTGGCAGAACTCCACGCTCCATGTCTAGAGAACACCAGGCGCTTCTCATGACCTGGCCTATTACCATATCTATGGAGAATCATGGTGAGGGCATCATCATAATACAGGGCACTTCTCAATGGCAAAACATTGAATTAAAGGTCTGTATACTTTTGTAAATGAGAGCTTTCAGTTTGGAACTTTTATTTTAAAATACAGAATGTTTTCATTTTGTTATAACAGGTTATATTGATGGGCAAATACGGAAGTTTTATCCATTTCAAATTAAATTTGCAATGCAGTAAAGTGAAGGTGTCTGAATACTTTCTGAAGCCCCTCTTGTAGCTAAAGAGCCAAGTATTCGATGATGGACTAATGCTGAGATCATTACTTTGATGAGTGAGATGACAGATGATTGTCATCATTAAATTATTGTGTACTGTGTGACTCTGCCAGTTTTATCCATGTTTGTCTTGCAAATGAGATGATGGATCTTAAGAAACTTCCTGGTTAAATAAAAGTGCTTTTAATTCATTTATTTTTTGTTAATCTTATATAATTTCCCAAGTATTCAAACTTGAGCCAAACATATAAAAAGGAGACCCAAGATGAAGTTGAGCAGATTTTTAACCTTTCCATTTCATGGAATTCCAACATAATCCATGCAGAATGTCATTAAATATAGTTAATTGCACTGTTATTGGTTAATTGCAAAAGATTAAATTAGAGTTGGATATAAAGATGGGGATCTGCAGTAGAATTTAGTTTTCACCACGTTAACAGGCAGTTCTTTTGATAAAGCCAAACCAAAGTGAAGTCTGTCACAGTAAAAGGTAGCATTTTGTTTTGTGAGCTCTAATTGTCCTGCTCAGTCGTCACCTTGCTGGCAGATCTGTGTACTTTATTTTGCAGCCTTTCTAAAGGTGCTGCCTGCTCTGTGCTGCTTGCTCCAATAAGCTCTCATTAATCTTGCTTACAGCTTTCATTAAAGCTGCCACCACTGCACCCATGCCCTCTCTCCAGGCTCCTATCTCCTCCTCCCTACTGTCTGTCTTCTCGACTGTGCCTTCCATAATCTCTTGCCCTCAAAAGCCCGTGTACGTCTCTCCCCTCTTGTCCCTTCATCATATGCATCTCTCCTCTTTATTTCATTCTGCCTCCTTTCCTGTCATCTTTATACCTAGTGTCTAGTGGCTCAAAAACTTTAAATTCATACAAGCTCCGTGTTAAATTCATTTTGCACCTCCTCTCATAGAAGTGGTTTGCCATTCGGGAGGTGGCAGTTAAAGCTCGCTCCTGGGATGTCGTTGACACAGACATAAAAGCCCACTTTATGTGAGGATTATGTTTCTGCCGACTCTGTCCTGAACTGTTTGACCCTGAAGTGTCTGCCACAGATTTCCTC